TACTTCCATTAATATTTTATAACTATTTTGTCTTAAATATGGTATAATTGATGAGAGAAATGCTATTCATCCTGGGACGTATCCTCAGTCTATGTGGATGTAAATGATTGGTTAAATGATAGGTGAAATTAAGTAACTTATTTAATTTCACATATCATTTAACCAATCATTTACATCCACATAGACTGAGGATAACGTCACATAAATTGGGGATACATCCTCAGTGAGAATGAATAGCATTTTTCAATTGATAATTGAACTCTGTTTAGAGCAAGTCCATCACTAAAATGGTTGACATATTGTTGCAGTTTTGATAAGTGTTCTATAAAGCGTTCAAGTGTATTGAAGTATGGAAGTCAAGTTATAGGTTAGACGGGTCTAGGTGATGTTTAGGCATAAAAAAATATTTTTTTTATTTTTTAATTAATTTAAAAATTATTTAATAAATAAAATAATATCTACCAAACATATGAAATTATAAAATATTATATTGGAAGAAACAAGTGTCCTAGGCTCAATAAAAAATAAAATAATATAAAAAGGAGTAAAAATTATAATAAAAAGCATGAAAAAGTTCCGGGTGGAATGTTTCTGCACCCGTTTCGCGTCTAAACGTCGCTTTTTAGAACATTGATTTTGAGGGGTCAAAATTATACAAGTTTCAAAACATTCCCACAAACCTTGTTATAATTCTTGAGATGTTGCTTCTAAAATTTTGACAGGTATCGATATTTTAATAGAGAACAAAAATTTAATACCATGTTAAAATAGATAACATTTATTAAAAAACCATCTTCAATACGAAAAAGAGTTGAGTTGAGTCGTATACATTTAGATTGTTTCTTGTTTTATCAGGTAGAGCTCTTTTAAAAAGAGTTGAGTCGTATACATTTAGGGGGTGTTTGTTTGGGATTTTTGGGGAANGGGGTGTTTGTTTGGGATTTTTGAGAAAATAATTGATTTTTGAATAGTGATATGATGGGAAATGTGTGGTTGAAAAAGAAGAAAAAATTATTTATGTAATGTAAAATATTATTTTATTAAAAAATGTGTGATTGAAAATGAGAATTGATATACTGTAGAATTTGAAAATCCCAAACAAACACCCCCTTAATATTTTTCTCTCTGATATTAAATATATCTTTAAAATAAAATTTAAACTAGATCATAATTTGATTATCTATTTATTAGACATTAATGTTATACATAAATCGAAAGACTTTTCACTTAGATATCATTTAGACTGCACTGCATGAAAGAATTATTCTACATCAGGATTTAAAACTGACATGTAATGTCTAAGTGATATTTCATCATTGGTTGAAAATATAAACATTGACATATATGTAATAAAATCATGCATAAAATTCTTGCGGGCCATTCAATGATGAGAGTTACTAATAAGAATAGATTTATATGCGTGCCAACACAATCTCGAAATGTCCCGAAGTCTCTTGTTCGAGAATCTAGAGAGACGAGACGACGCGCCAAAAAGTGAACAAAAGAGATCGTTGGGTCGGTCCATTCTCTCTTTTTCTTTTTGACGTTTTCTTTTCTTCTTTTTTTAATATAATTCAGAAAAAAAAAACTCGAAAAGACAGCTTTTTAATCTGTAAAGTGTCCGAAATTGATAAGCCTGAGATTTGCAAGAAGCTGTTATCACACTGCATCAGGTTTTTCCTCGACTTGTTACTAATGTCGATACACTGTTTATGTAGTTTTTTGTAATGGGGTACAGTTGTTTTACTTAGGAAGATAATTAACTAGTAATAATGAGGAGCTGATTTGATTTGATTTGTGCTATTAGTTTACAATGCTGTGCTGTTCCAGTTTCCTCTTAATCAAATACTGTAGCGTAAGCTTGATCTTCTTTTTCTTGAATTTCCTCATAGATTCTGTGTTTTTTTAATATTCCATGAACTTGTCGAGTTCTTGTCTCTTAACTCATTGTTCACTACACATGAATTTTTACTTTTTCTTAGGTTTCTTTAAATTTGTAGAATCTTGGAACGCAGATAGCTGGATTTAAACCCTTCTGTCAAAAAACAGGCTTCATCTGGTACTTTCACTTTTTTTGTTTTGTTTTAATGCTTTTCTTTTTGTGGGTTTTTGTTGAAAAATGGTTTTGAAATGTTGGTTTTCTGGATTGAGGCTATAGTTAAAGCGAACTTGCTGTATTCTTGTTCAATGTAGTTTNTTTGTTTTTTTTTGTTTATTTTTTTTTTTTTTTTTTTTTTTTTTTTTCTGATTTTCGAAATTTAGTAGTGGGAAATTGAGATCTAGTAAATTTAAGTGATTTTAAGCTTAGCCAAAATCCTGTCCGTGAATAATATAAGTAGGAGATATCTAAAACGTCGATTTGGTTTTGAAAACAAGTATTGAATTGTTGGAGACGAAATGGAACCAATCTCCTTAATTGTTTTAAAAAAAGGCACCCTCCCCCGGTTTATTGCCTGCTGAATCGATTGCTCTGCATTTTGTTATCCTTCCATCCTTCACTTATCGTGATGGGCAAAACTAGTTTGTTGGGCAGAAGAGAGAGTAAATTATTCTGGTTTTGTTGACGAGCAACTGATTATACTATTTTGCTGAACCAAACTTAATTTCCTGGAGCATTGTCAAATTTTAGGACAAAAATCTTTTAGAGTAAGAATAAGATGGCCATAGTGAATTGGACAACTTTTGACCTTAGAAAAAAGACGTATATGTGTTTGATATGATTTTACAATTCTAGGACAATGTGTTCTGAGTGATGTTTTGGTGCAGAACAAAGAGTTTAAGAAAAGAAGAGGAGACAAGAAGATAGAAGAATTGGAAGGGGATTTCAATCTGTCAAATTCTCAAAAATTTAGTATCCTACTCTTATTTAGTTTTTGAATCCCTTGTAAAAATGGAAAGGAAAATATCATAATTAAACCTTAGAAACTATGGGAAGGAAGTATATAGAATTGCAACATCCTTTAGCTGACATGAACAATGTACAGTTATTTAATTGATTTGTTCTCACATAGAATTAACTAGCTGAACAATAGACCATTTAATGTGTTCGATGCTCTAATGGGCGTTCCTATAACTCACAGTCGTTTATAGAGGTATTTTATGTTTATCCATATGACATTATACTGTTTTTCACAATGTTACTTTCGGTTAGGGATTCCGATGGCTAAGTACTTAGTTCGTATTCCTAGGTTTTGATAAATTTAACTGATATATTAATTTATTACGTGTAGGTTCCACAATTGCAACGAATGTTTTTCTCTTTATATGTTCCTTTTCATTTCGTGTGCTTGTGAGACTTCATAACCTGGTTCCCCATTTATTTAAATACAGATTTGGATGGTAGATGTAGAAAATTTACTGCCAAGAAAATGCGTCAGAAAATCCTTGAAACAATTGTAGGACAAACCTGTTGTACACTGAGATGATGCTAGGAAAGTTATTTCGCAGAGTTTCAGAGTGAGCTAGCCAACCACTATTTATAGGTGTAGAGTGAATTACGCGGGGAGGTTGTTTTCTTTTCTTGTCCAGCAAGATTCCTTTTTGGTGGAGCAAGTTTTGGCATGTGGGTTGAAAGTAGAGTGTCATCTTATCCACTATGTCCAGTCTATAGAGATCTTCCTGTTTCCACTATCTGACTTAATGAACCAGTGGTTTGAATGGTCTTTATCTACTGGGCTTTGTGCTGGATGTAGTCTTGGAATTCTTGTGGGTAACAACTTAGTTGGGTTTGGTCCATGGAGGTATCAGTCCAATCAGTAAACAGGCGGTTTGAGTCTTAAGATTGACCTCTGGTCAGTCATGGTGGAACATCCAACTCAATGGATATCGTTTGATGAGCTACGTCTGGTTTGTTCGATCTAGTTAGTTTGAGGGCATTCAACTTTGTCCATGTGTTGTGACTGGTTTTGAGACTACTGGCAGATTGGCTAGTCCATCACTCAGCCTGCCTGAACTGTAGCATATCAGTTTCTTCTTGTTGTGTGGATTCACTCATTTGAATTGTTTTCCATACTTACATTTACTCTGCACATTTACAAATGAAACACATGCAATCTTCCACTTAATGGTTATTTATTAACCATTACCTGAGCTAATACAATTTGAACACGATATTTTTGTATGCGATTATAAAGTTGGCAGTACCTATTGTTATTAATCAATTTATATCTACTTCGTGCATGGCCTTTTCCCCTGGGAGTTCATAAATCTTTATCGAAACATATCTTGGTTGCGATTTCCTGTTATTTTGCTCAATCTTATTTGTCATTGACATTGCATACTGAGATGATGCTATTATTATGGCAATTGGCAATTACATAATGATGCCAATTCATACGAATCTTCACATCTTGAAATCTTCAATGTTAAATTCTGATTTCGCAAATAAATACACACATCACACGTACACACATCACACGTCATGTCTTACATTTCATTCTAATTATTTCTTCGCCTCTTTGAGATTAAATTAGAATTCTGGTGGTGAAATGTTGGATATATGAGATTACAACTACACCGAGGTATTGACAGTGATTTTCAAATCTCGCAGAACATAATGTGATACGATGAGATATAAACAAAGATAGGGAACATGTTACCTACTCTTAACAGCCATGTTGTTACATTGATTTACAAGCTCGTCATTTTAATTAAATAATTTGTTGACCTTTTATATACTGTCTGTCTCATTCACATGGACACACAATTATTTTAGCATGTGGTATCTATATATTTTTGTGTATCTTTTATGCACAAATGGAAATGAGAATTTTACCTCCTCAAATGGCCTGTGCAGATTTCTCAAGGGTTTGCTCATCGACATTATTTGAAGAAAATTAATCAGGTCATATTTAATGCCCTTTCCAATATCATCATCCACGAAACGAGTTGTCTTGGTCTTTATCTGATGTCATTTTCAAAATGCATGAAATCTTTGTTATTCCAGTTCAAGTAAAAAGTGCCGGTGTCGGTGAAGATCAAAGCTAATTTTGTAGCTGATGATGATTAAAGTATGGCTTGGAGCAATCCTGCTATTTTGTGGACTGTTCTTCTCCAGTACAATAGGTTGATCAACATTCTTAAACCTGCTCAACTTTTTACCATCATGCTGGATATTATTGGCCATTCGAGGCATAAACTTTGACCAAATATTAGGTTTTTGAGTTCTTAGTAGGAAGTAGGAACATAATAATTTGTCATAGAAATATTTATATAATCTCCTAAGGACAAAGTCGAAATGGTTTCTATGGTATGTTGTTGATGTCCTATGATGCATTGACGTTGACATGTATGACATGTGATTTTTAAAAAAAGTACTAAAATGAAAACAACGCTGATGCGTTGATTAAATTCTTTATTTATATAGTATAAATTTAATTTTATACTTGTTATTAGTTTTTTTTTGTTGAAATCCTTTAAGTATTAGTATATGTTTGTTATTTAATAACAATTTTGAGTTAAAACATATATAATGTTTTTGATAAAGAAAGAAAAATGATCATGATAGAGTGTTCGAAGAGCGTCGGTATCCAACATGGACACGCCACTTTAGTTGAAGTGTTCGTGCAACATAACTAATGTTGAAGAATTTCTCTCTTCTTATTGTGCATGACTTTATCGTTCTTTAGACTCGTATAAACTTAATCCTCTGATATGAAGCATTGGTAAAATTACAATTTCTGTATTACAGTATTTTTTAGCCTTACTGTGGCCTCCTGCAAAGGGAATAGTAGAATGAATTAGTTGTAATTTGATATGACAGTTCAAGATAATTCATTCTATGACTTTTATGGTTAGGTCAATGCTTTAACAAATGTAGGTTAAGGTATTATTGTAAACAAATTTTTTTGCTCAAGCCATTTTAGTTTTGGATAGCTGATTGATTCGAGTTTGCTTTCTTGCAATAATTGTCATGCACATCTGGTTTTAGCACATATTACCTGCCAGTAGGACTTACTGGCCTTGCAATTTGAGATACGACCGATTTTCTGTTTGAAGTTTTACATAGAAAATAGACGAGGTAAATCTTCCTATAATTTTCAATCATGTTCTTGTATGTGCAGGTGCATTTGTTGGGATAAATATTGGTACTGATGTTTCTAACTTACCATCAGATACTGATATTATTGGAATCCTTAAAACACATCAAATAAGTCATGTGCGCCTTTTTGATTCCGATGCCCACATGCTGAGTGCTCTCTCAAACACTGGCATTGAAGTCATGGTTGGCGTTACAAATGAAGAAGTCTTAGGGGTTGGAGAATCCCCATCAGCAGCAGCAGCCTGGATTAATAAAAATGTTGCAGCTTATCTGCCTGGGACAAATATTACAGCAATTGCTGTGGGCAGTGAAGTTCTCACTTCAATCCCAAATGCAGCACCAGTTCTGGTTCCTGCTATGAATAACCTGTATAAAGCCTTAGTTGCTTCGAATCTAAATTATCTAGTTAAAGTTTCAACCCCACAGTCGATGGGCGTAATTCCTCGGCCCTTTCCTCCTTCTACTGCCAACTTTAACACTACATGGAACTCCACAATATTCCAGATCCTTCAGTTCTTAAGAAACACAAATTCCTTTTACATGTTAAATGCTTACCCTTATTATGAATATGTTAAGAGCAATGGCATTTTTCCTATCGAATATGCTCTTTTCCAACCACTCTCGTCAGTCAAACAAATTGTTGACCCAAACACCCTTTTTCGCTACAACAGTATGTTTGATGCTTTGGTGGATGCAACCTATAACTCAATATCTGCTCTCAACTTTTCGAAGATCCCTATTGTTGTGACTGAAACTGGGTGGCCTTGGTTTGGTGGTGCCAATGAACCTTATGCCACTGTAAAAAATGCAGAAGCATTTAACGGTAACTTGATTCGGCGTGTTTCAAATGATTCTGGTCCACCTAGTCAACTCGACATGCCAATAAATACGTACATATATGAGTTGTTCAATGAAGATAAAAGGCGTGGGCCTGTCTCAGAGAGGAACTGGGGTGTCCTTTTTACTAACAGCACTGCTGTTTATTCAATTAGTTTGAGTAATTCAGAAAGTCTCGATGCAAATTCATCAACAGTTTTTTGTATCGCAAGACAAGGTACAGATGAGGATTCGCTGCAAAGTGGACTTAATTGGGCTTGCGGACCTGGCCAAGCTAATTGCAGAGCTATTCAACAAGGGCAGCCTTGCTATTTACCCAATACTTGGCAAAATCATGCTTCTTATGCTTACAACGATTACTATCAAAAAATGCACAGTTCTGGAGGAACTTGCGACTTTGATGGTACAGCTACGACAACTACTATTGATCCTAGTAAGTTTCTGGCGCCCTTCATCATTGTCCTTTTAAGAGAAAGCGAATTCTTCTTTTTGCTCCTGTTCCTGGTGATTTTTCTCTATGTTTATAATGATAGGAAACAAGATATTCAAAATGTTAATGCATATCCAACGATCAGTTTCTACTCATCTCGTTTTCATGGTCTTGCACCAATCATTTCAAAGAATGTTCAGTTTTTCTTTTATCCTTTAAAGCTTTCATATTGCAAATAGGAATTTTCCATCGTTGTCCACCATTTCCATTGATTAGATCAGTCAACAGTATCCTAATTTTTCCGTCAAGAAAACTACTTTCACAGTGCACGCTTCTGGTTGATGCACATGTATGTGTTTGCCTTTGTATACTCGTGTAATTAGAATCGTACGTTGTAATTTGTATAAATTTCTTATCCCGTGATCATGGCTATCGATATGCAGGTTATGGATCCTGCAGATTTGGTGGAAGGTGAGTGTTAATCTATTTTTTTTCCTTCTTCATGTGATTTTCTTTACGTGGCCTCTAAAATAGTTTTTATATTTTGGTGGGCAGTTCGAATTCAAGTACCAGCAGGCTATTTCCACCTCCTGCTTTTGGACCGGTTGGTCAATCTTCGAGAAGCTCGCGGAATTATATATATTTCCACCAAATTGGATCATTGTGTGCAGTAATCCTTGCGTTGATATTAGTTTGATGCTAGTTAATGTTAGAAAGATTTTGTAGCATGCATGTTGATGAACTGAGATTGTACCTTCAGATGATATTCATAACTTTCGGAAAAAATCCATCATCCATTGAATTAATAGTGTTTTTCCAAACTGCCAGTGTCTTCCTCTAATGTTTATCAGTTATTGCAGGTAAAGGGTCCTTTTTTTTTTTTTTTTTTCTAAATACCAATTCTGTATGTGTTTCTTTAGCTTACACCTCTACAAAAGGAAAAGTTTTACTTCAACTATAGTTGGGCCTAGCAATTTCGAGAAAGTTATCTCCTCGAAACTAAGGGGCTTTAATACACAATTGTGCACCTACTTTAATTAGTTTATTTAAGTCAATATAAGTTCAATTGAGTGTTTCACGTTCCAGTATACAAAAGCTATAATGCACAATGACAAGTCATCCAAGGTTATTTTGGGGTGTTTCATGTTCCATTGGCGAGTCAGTTATGCCAAGGATGAAATTCTCAAAAGCCAACCAGACCAAGCTTAACCCTGTTCAAGGATTGCATCCTTGGTTCCACAATATTTGCCATTGCTTTATTTTTCTTATTTGTTCTCAGCTTTGGATGACCGCCTGCCTGTATGCATGCTTGGATGGACAAAAATTTTGTGTCCAGCCAATCACTCAACCTATGTCCTCGTAATGTAGATTATAGGATTGTGAACTCCACGAAATAAGTGAATAAAAAGTGATTTGATTATCTATAAATGGGTAGCCATACATGGGCTTAATGAGACAATTCACCATCAATCTTAACTCATTATTTCAACATGTTAGAATTTGCAATCTGCTTTATATGTATTAATTGATATGGATCATAGCAAAAGGCAATTTTATTTTAGTGACAGCCTCTAGACTTGGCCGTTGTTTCCAGGACAAGGAAATTTCAGCTTAGTCTTGTCTATCCCAATTCTGTCTGCCTGCCATTCAAGAACATTCACCATAGACATCGTAAAAAAGAAAAATCAATTAATGAACCCATGGTGGTATACAAATAAAAAATGATAGATGAATGTTTAAATCTCCATGAAAGTAATTGATTTCTATTTACCATGACAGAGAAAGATCGACATGTGTTAATCAAGCCCTATATCAGCTAAGCAGAATATGCTGTCTTGTATGGAATTGTTTATCAGACAGTATCTTACAAAACTCACAAGTGGCAAACGGGTGCCTCTTCTTGCACTTTCCTAGACTAAAGTTATACAGGAACTCTTTTTCCTCGGTAACGGTCAAAGATCTGCACAGGAGGAGATAAAGAAGAATTATAAACACACGATGTCATGTTACAAAACTTATACAAGAAGGTGGTTCATTGTCAAGCAAGTGGGAAAAATACAGGGCTACAGAAATACACTGGCTTTTTTCGTAATGCAGAAAAAAAAAGAAAAAAAGAAAAGAACTCCAAATCTGTGAACTTCCATTTTAGAAGAATAGCACCTAGAACTTCAATCTCCAGATAATAATAGATTCAGAGCTAAAGTTCACACATTCAAATGCAGAACTTGCATGTTCTCATGTGGATAAATAAAGCATCAAAACTATAACAGTAACAAAAAAAAATTATCCAAACTCCAACAAGTGAATCTACATATCTGTCAAACACCACGGAAAAGTTCCCTGGAGAGTCAAACCTCTTAACTCAAGTGAACTGTCCATGTCTAACGCAAAGGAGACTGATTCTCCAAACAGACACGTCTAATACTCCTTCAACTAAGTTCACATCCAGTATATACGAACACATTTCAGAGACTTCTCAACTTTTTGAAAGTTTTTTTCACACACTTGATATGTTACCTTACTTGAACTTTAAGAAACCTTGGCTCAAATAATGGAAATTTTCTGTGCAAGAATTCGAATGAATGCTAGACATGAAAAAATAACTACCACATTAAATCCATAATAACTCGAAGAAACTCTTAAAAACAATCTAGCTGATAACAATGGTGTGGATCCTCAGTGTATCATTCTGTTCTATTCCATTGTGCTTTAAAAACGATTAAAGTCGAACAGCTCAAATTAAGACATGGTCACAGGCTCAGAGGTACAAACAAGGAAAGTAACAAATTTCTACATCATTTGATGTCTCCAACTAGAGTTCCTAAAAGTAACCCATCCTCAATTACAGTGCAGTGACCTGAAAGTATTCCTAGCAGGATCAACTAAGGAATAATTACAGAAGCACCTGCAGCCCATCACTCAGTGATATGCCGGGTGTATACCATGCATCAACTTCTACATAAAAATAATACTAGAACAGAAAAGATTGTGTGGGGGCACCTTAAAACACCTCCAATGAAGGAATGAGAAGTTCAAATAAAGCTTCCATCAAATACTCCGATATTAATATAGTTAAACAAATCAATCTCTAGTATCAAAACTATTCAAAATGCAACATCCAACATCTATCTAAACTCAAATTCAGTATAAATTCCAAATAATTGCTTCCCAGGATCCAAACAAATAACTAGAAAAATGTCAAAAGCAAACATACCGATCTGAAAAATGGCTGCTGGAACAGCCAACCAAGAATAGGTATCTTTTGCAGAAAAACAGCAAGTGTTGGCCAAAAGCCACTGCACGAATATAATTATAAATCATTAGGACCTGGAAGAGACAAGAATGAACCATTGTGAAAACTGAAACATTATATGTAGAATCAGGGAAACAGAGATTGCTGAACCTGAAGAGTACAACAAATCCATATGCCTCTAGCATCATTCCTATTATAGGCCATCCAATGATGACAAAGAAGAAGCCAACACCAAATGAAACCGTTCCCTACTATCAACATTATATCAAATCCTAATGGACACAAAATAACAGAAATGGTAAAACTAACACACTGCAGTTATTAACCAAAACAAACCTTAAAATTTGAACGTTTCATGAAGAATTGCACTGACGACTTGAGTCCAATGGTCAACATCACGCCAGAGATGAAGAGGATCTGTTTCAATACAAAGACACAGTGTTAAACAGCCAACAAGGAATTAATAATAAACTGAGCAATATGAAGGTGATAGATGAAAAAAAAAAAAGTGAAACAACCAGCACCATAAAATTGAACTTACATTTCCCATAGCTAATAATCCCTTGTCGAAGAAGAAAATTACCCCCAAGAATGAAAAAAACACTCCAAACCCCGTCAGTCCCAGTCCAATTTCTATCTCGTTATATCAAGGCAAAGAAAAAAAATACATCAGGCATTTAAACGTTTCTTTCTTATACAATAATATGAAGGTGCACTTCAAATTAACCATGGCAGTTTCACTCAGCAACGAGAAATAAAATAAAGAAAAAAAATCCAAAGGTGGATTCATATAATTCCACCAAGCTGGAATGCAAATCCATAGAAGCTCAGATGCAATTACTCAGATACATTGTAGAGAACCTCAGTCGGACATAAGACGCACGCACGCAATTCAACAATTGATTCACTGATATATATAAATAGAACAATCAACTTACTTTTGCGATCGTTCATTTCGAAGGACATCATTTTTCCTGATTCAGATTCTAATACAATTTGTTAGAATTTATAGGCAAAACTTCAAGGTGAAATCCTGCTGACCTGAAAATGAAAAACAATAATCATCACCTTGAATCATAAAAAAAAACACACAAGAAAATTAAAATGAAAATCAGCGGAGTGAGTTAGGGTTCCAATAACGAAAAAAATACAAAATCTATTGGACTACCTTATGGTTTAAATCTCACATAAATTGCCTTAATCCAATTAGTCTATATATAATCAAATTTAAGCGCGGAAAGAGAACCTGCACTGCAATTACGAGCCTAGACTGATGACTGCGTGTAGTTCTTCAGTTTCTACTTGGAAGGGAAGGAAGCGATTTCCATTTGCGCAGTGACGTGATTTATTTAATTATTCAATATAATAACATGTAAGGTTGTTACATGTTTGCTTTTTAGTTAGGGGAATTTGCATTGAGGATCCTCAACTTATTAAATTTATTCATACAAATTTTCAACTCTTGTTTGACAGTTAGGTCCTTCATCTTTTAATTTTGCAACATTTTAGTCTCATACCGCATTGAAAACATAATTACACTCTTATTCTTAGTCATAGTAGAAAAATAAATAAAAAGAAACAAAATAATAAAGTGAAAAACAAACAAGTTCATTTCGAAGGACATCATTTTTCCTGATTCAGATTCTAATACAATTTGTTAGAATTTATAGGCAAAACTTCAAGGTGAAATCCTGCTGACCTGAAAATGAAAAACAATAATCATCGCCTTAAATCATAAAAAAAAAAAAAAACACTAGAAAATTAAAATGAAAATCAGCGGAGTGAGTTAGGGTTCCAATAACGAAAAAATACAAGATCTATTGGACTACCTTATGGTTTAAATCTCACATAAATTGCCTTAATCCAATTATTCTACATATAATCAAATTTAAGCGCCGAAAGAGAACCTGCAATTACGTGCCTAGACTGATGACTGCGTGTAGTTCTTCAGTTTCTACTTGGAAGGGAAGGAAGCGATTTCCATTTGTGCAGTGACGTGATTTATTTTAATTAATAACATGTAAGGTTGTTACATGTTTGCTTTTTAGTTAGGGGAATTTGCATTGAGGATCCTCAACTTATTAAATTTATTAATACAAGTTTTCAACTCTTTTTTGACAGTTAGGTCCTTCATCTTTTAATTTTGCAACATTTTAGTCTCATACCGCATTGAAAACATAATTACACTCTTATTCTTAGTCATAGTAGAAAAATAAATAAAAAGAAACAAAATAATAAAGTGAAAAACAAACAGTTTCCTCCCCCTACCTGACCATCTATTTCTTTTCTTTTCCATTATATTTTCTCATTTGTTTTTAAATTTTTATTAAAATTTTAGGGTTGAGCAATGTTGAAGATTATACATATTTATTTAGTCTTGTTTAATAACTTAAAAAACTTTTTATATGATTTAATATGATTCCAGAATAGATAATGTCCTGGATTCAAATCTCGTTTATCTCCCATTTATTGAAATTGCGCACGTGCTATACTTTAATATACATTTGGACTTATCTAACCGTTTAAATTTTCAAATCAAGTGATTCAACAAGCAAAGCGATCGAATCAGAATCCGCTAGTTTGGTTCAACATAAACTTTAAACGGTTTTGACTCGGAAAACTAAGAGCTGGTCGATTTTGGGTCGGTTCCATTCTAGTACCTAGAGCTGAGAACTGGTTCTATCCTAGACGATTTTTTTAGTTAATTATGTTTATTTATTAATTTGGTAAATGAATTTTATTTTAGACAATATGAAATTCATTGTTTGCATTAAACAATACTTATTATTTTAATTTTGAATGTGAGTAACATCCAATATCTTAATTTTTAAAAAAAAATAATTTCGCAACCTAATCGAAACACACCTACCCTAATTAAAATTATGTACCTAATTTGAGACGTGCTATTCGTACCGAAAATGGTTGACATACAGGTTGAACGACACTCACAATGAGG